TCACGGGGTCGCGCATGAGGTCACGAGGGGGGCGCCAGGCACCGCCCCTTCCGGCCCCTTTCCCAGGGCCCCGCCCTCTACACGTAGCTCCGCCCACCGACGCGGTTCTCAGCCATGGCGGCCGTGGCCCCGCCCTTTTTACCACAGCCACGCCCACTCTCCCCACAGCCCCGCCCTTTCCCCCAGCCTGAACCTCATGAATATGCAAATTTATGCTAAACACCAACGCGGACCCCCAGCTACAGGACCAAGGCTCATTTGCATATTCTAATGACCACATTTGCATATTCAAATGCCCGGCCCTGCCTCATCCTGAGAGATATGCTAATGAGCCCGGCTCCAGGGGTCGCAGAGCCCATTTGCATACGTCAGGGGCGTCATTTGCATACGCAGCCGCGGGCTCTGTGCGACGTCGCCCTCGCGGGTTGGTTGGCGTCGGCGTATGCTAATGAGCGCATTTGCATATTCATCTGCCCTATGCAAATGAACGCCGCCCATCCCCAGCCTGAGAGCAAGGTAGTCATTTGCATATTCTAGTGAGGTCATTTGCATATTCTAATCCCTGCTATGCAAATGAGCGTCGCCAATCCCCGGCACAAGAATGCAATCATTTGCGTATGCTAATGAGGTCATTTACATAGGCGAATCCCCAAAATGCCATCTTCTCTGTGAGTTGTCCTGACGAATATGCTAATTTCATGCTAATGCACCGATACGGACCCCATTATGCAAATGAATTCTGCCAAGACCCAGCGTGAGAGCGTAGACGGCCGTTCCATATGCTAATGAGGTCGTTTGCATATTCAAATCCCCACAGAAGTTCTCACTGTGACCTTGTCCTGACGAATATGCTAATTTTATGGTAATGTGGGGGCGGCACTAGGGACCAGGAATGGCGTCGGTGTCATTTGCATATGCTAATGACTTGGTCTGCGTACGTGCACAGCAGCACCCGGGGCCTATTTTGCATATGCTAATGAGGCGATCTGCATATCCAGACCCCGGTCCTGGGAGATATGCTAATTCCATGCTAATCCAGAGCACCTGACGTCACTCCGGTCTGCTAATGAGGTCATTTGCATATTCAGATTCCCGAGGCCCGAGCCTTTGCCGTGACCTCGGCATGAGGAATATGCCAATAACATGCTAATGAGCTCAGCTCGACTCTGTCTTGCAACACCCTGGGCATTTGCATATGCAAATGAGTTCCTCCAAACACCAATTGAGCACCACGAATATGCAAATCACATGCTAATCAGCCTGGTCAGTCCCGGTCACGGCAAGGGCTTTGTTTTGCATATGCTAATGAGGTCATTTGCATGTCCCGCCCTCCCAGCTCGGAATATGTAAATTTTATGCTAATCACAGCCCTCCCACCGATGACACACAGGGGACGCGCACGGGACACGTGTGTCTACACGTGTTACATGGGTGTGAAAATCACGCGGACCCAACACACGCGTGCACACGACACGAGGTCACACGCGAGACCCGCGTACGCACGACTCCCGGACCCGCGGGACCCGGGTCCACACCACACGCGGACCCTCACACACGCGTGCGCACGACACGAGGTCACACGCGGGACCCGGGTCCACACCACACACGGACTCTCACACACGCGTGCGCACGACACGAGGTCACACGCGGGACCCGGGTCCACACCACACGCGGACCCTCACACACGCGTGCGCACGACACTCAGCCCCACGGACACGCGTGTGCAACTCATGGGCCCACGACAGGTTCACAGTCACACGCGTGTGCACCGCGGGCGTGGGGGGTCACGGAGCCCTGGGCCCCTGTGGCGTGACCGCGCGTGTGACTCCGTGTCCCGTGTCACGCACACGCGTGACCCACCTGAGCAGCCGTCGAGCACGGCGACGACCTGTGACCTCGCGTGTCGTGGGGTCACGAGGACCCGGATGCCCCGCCCCGCCCCGGCCGTCCGTGTGCACGCGTGTGTTTGCGTGTGCGACGCCCGGGCCGTGCCCGCCACGGTGTTTGTTGTTCTCGGGCCTCGGCTGTGTGCGTGTGGGGCCCCGGGGCACACGCGTGTGTCATGGAGTCCATCATGCGTGTGTCCATCATGGCCGCCGTCCTGAGTTCACACGCGTGTGTCATGGACTCCATCCCGTGTGCACACACGTGTGTCCGTCATGGCCGCCGACCCCGGTGCACACGCGTGTGTCTGTCATGGCCGCCGCCCCCGGTGCACACGCGTGTGTCCATCATGGCCGCTCCCCCTCCCCGTTTGTATTTTGAATAAAGTTTCTGAGGTTTTCTCCCCGGCTCCCGCCCGTCACGGGGTCACACGTGAGGTCACGGGGGCGCCAGGCCCCGCCCCTTCCGGCCCCTTCCCCACGGCCCCGCCCCTCTACGCGTGGCTCCGCCCCCTGCCGCGGTTCTCAGCCAGGGTGACCGTGGCCCCGCCCTTTTTCTAGCAGCCACGCCCACTGCCGTGTTCTCAGTCAGTGACTGTGGCCCCGCCCCTCTCTCACAGCCCCGCCCCCTGCCACGGTTCTCATGGTGACTGTGGCCCCGCCCCTCTCCCCACAGCCCCGCCCTTTTTCCCACAGCCACGCCCCCTGGCTCGGGTCTCAGGAAAACCTAGCCGCGCCCCTTTCCCCAGCCTGGTCCTGATGAATATGCTAATTTTATGCTAATGGGCCCCGCAAGGCTTCATTATGCAAACGATGGATGTGGAGCGCCTTTGCCGGTTGATGGGCCATTTGCATATGCTAATGAGCGCGTTTGCATATTCAAATGCCCCAACCCCTGCCTCCGCACTGGACTCACACCGAGGGCTATGCTAATTTATGCTAACGAGCCCGGATGAAGACCCCGCTATGCTAACGACCGTGGCTCCTGGGGACACAGACCCCATTTGCATACGTGAGCGGCGTCATTTGCATACGCAGATGGGGGCTCCGTGTGACAGCTTCGCCCTCCCGGGTGGATTTGGCGCCTGGGTATGCTAATGAGGACATTTGCATAT